TGTCCCTAGCCTCTTCTCTTCCTTGGCCGAAAGCTGGGGTACTACTTTGGAAAGCAACTCTGGGTGCCACGTTATGGACGATTTGGAAAGAATGTAACAATCGCATCTTGCAAAGGGAGTCCGCCCCTATCTCCAAATCATTTTCTGGGCTTCTAATCACAAACTCTTCATACCCGGGTCTACTTTTCTGTCCAATTGGACCCACATTCTCAACCACCGGCGTGTCAAGGTGCCAAGGTCAGGTCTATGGGGACCTCTGGAGATTGGTGCCATCAAACTCAACTTTGACGGCTCTTCATTAGGTAACCTTGGCCCGGAAGTAGTTGGGGGACACTTTCAGAAACACCATGGATTTAAGAGTAGCCGATTCCTCTGAGGCAGAGGCCATGGCCCTTCTAGAAGGCCTGCAACACTTTGATAGGTCTTGGGGTCTCCCCCTCTAGGTGGAAGGGGACTCATAAAACATCATCTCTTGGGCTTTTGTAGAAGCCCAACCCCCGTGGAGGCTATGGCACATTTTTTATGCTATCTTTGATCTTTGCTGGGATACACCGTTATTCTGGACTCATATCTGGTGGGAGGCCAACCAGGTCGCTGACGGCCTAGCAAAACAGGGAGCAGCCTCCACTCTTCTTCCAGCCCAATCGCGTTACTTGCCTTCTCGAGGGGCACGCTTCTTCATTTTTTTTTTGCTTTTAGTTGCCTACTGTATCTTCGGGGCTGCGACTCATGTTTTTGGCTTTCACTTTCTCTCTTATCACTTCTCTCCACGAGGGGAACACTTTTTATTTCTCGTTTTTTGCCTTTTGTAGCCTACTATATCTTTGGGGCTGCCCCCCCTATTTTGTTTTATGTTTTCTCTGGTCACTCCTCTAGGTGACTTCTTCCTTTGTACTTCTTTAACCATCAATACAATGTTAATAGTATAAAAAAAACTACCAATGACCAAATGTCGTTGTATTTTTGGATAGAGCATGTTCTTTTTTTTTTTTTTTTTTAAAAATTACCAGGTCGATTTTGATCCACTTGAGTGGGCTCGGGATTAGCAGGGGATCGATCTGAGTCACTAAAATCGCTCACTTTGTATATAAAAAAATAATGAAAAACCATCCATTCTGAGTCGTTCTCCCTCATTTCTTCGCTAAAAATCACAAAATTAGCATAAAACATAGGTGTAAAAAATAATATCCATACATACTTAGACAAGAGATGACGTCTCAATATTGACGTATTTTTTTCAAGGTAATGAAATTCATAATGTACTACTGTCATTTTTCTTGAAAATCCAAAAAATCATTATTTATAATGATTTTTAGTGATTTTTTTGAATTTTTTTGGGGCCAAATGTGGCCGTTCCATTTGATCCAGATCACTGATCTGCTGATCCTTGTCGGTTTCTTGGATGGCTGATCCGGGTTTCCAAACATTGCTCCATCCCATATCCTTGAGGATGTACCTCCTAATCCTAATCAGGCGCTTCAATCAATTTTGCGTCTTTTGTTTCACATTGTACTCCTGGTATTCCCTCCCTTTTTGTTTTTCAATTCCCTTTTATGCTTCCATTCCTAACGTCCATGCAAATGCCTTTATTGACTAGCGTGACCGCACTAATCAAAATTTCATGGAAGAATAGGATCAAAGCTATTTAACAAACTCTCCCCACCACTTCTCCCCATCCTTCTCTCTTCTCCTTCCTTTCTTCTCTGTTTAGTGCATTAGTACCTCTTTTCTCCATTAATGTTTTGTTGAAATTGATTTAGATAGTCATTTATCAGCATTGGTAAATATTTATTATCAGGACAAAAACAAGTACAACATTGGTCCAGGAAACAATGAGATGCCAAGGTGGGTGGCATCAAAATGGTTTGGAAATGCCAAATCAACCAAAATTAGTGCCTGATACACCATATTTGACCACTGGCTGTTGAAGACAATAGTTGCTTTCCCAGCAAGCAACTGTTAAAACAAATTTTAATTTTTCCTGGTTTTTAAATATTTTGTCACTTTTCTATTTCAAATAATTTTATATTTATGATGTTTATGTTAAAATAAAATGAATTAATGATCTACTTGTCTGCAAAATGTCAGTGTCATGCTTGTCTGTGTGCATCTATGTGGCACCACCATTGTATTCTGTTAGAAGTATACTGAACCCTATTGTGAAAAGTATATACCAAAACCTGTTAGGACTCATAGATTTGGCCAAGCTGGAGAATACCAAAAACCCTAAATTTTATCCTAATATAGAGCATGTCTAATAGTTTAGAACAAATTTGAAAGGATTACTTGGTGGCCTTTTGAAGTGATTGTATTGCATATGTTCTCTCTGTCATTAGAGTGTTTTAAATGGAAGTAGCTCTTAAAATTTTCAAACACCTTCACTTGGGTTAAGAGCAAGTGACACGAATGTCTATCTACTGTCAGCAACATACAAAGGCAATACACAACAGCCAAAGCAACAGTTCGCTGAAACAAAGTCCTCTACAAGGGCATGCCTTGAACTGTTATAAAAAAGTCAAACATGGGATCCATCCTTTCATTAGGAACCTGTAGGACCACTTGGCATTTGAATGGGTTGAAGTTTTTTGCAATTATGGAATGCATCATAGATTATCTTGTATATGCCGAGTTCAATATGTTTGTTTTTGAGGCAGCAAATTGCTCAGTTTAGAAGAAAAGAGGCAGTAAATTGCTGATCAGGTCCCTCAAAAAATATAGATCTAGTGATTTTCTGTGAAGATCACCATTGGACCAACCATAATAGACCTCTCCTTGCTTCCCCTTCCCTAGGATAGGCTGAATGGGTAGAAAGACCTTTCGCTGAGGAAGAAATCTTGAAAGCTATGAAAGACCTTGGTCAAGACAAAGGTTATAGCTTTCGATGGCTTCCCGGTGGCCATTTTTAGCAACTTCTGGACACCCTGAGGCCAGTGGTCTTTGTCTTCTTCAACGAGTTTTATGAGGAAGAATCTATAAACCCATGAGTGCCACATTCCTTACATTTGTTCGTTGAGGGGGGTGGAACAGCTGAAAAACTTTACACCCATAAGTCTATTGAATAGCTCCTAAATTTTTTTTGGAAAGGCTCTTGCATGCCACCTTAAAGAGGTCTTAACATATCACCAAACCAAGGGGCCTTTGTTGAGGACATGTAAATCCTTGACTTGATGTTTAGAAACACGAGTGTATCCATTCGAGCCGCATACCCAAAATCCCAGGGGTAGCGTTAAGACAGATTTTTTGATAACCTATGACCATGTGGATTGGGAAGTACTAGATGCGGTCATGTCAAAAATGGGCTTTGGGTCTAGATGGAGGCCGTGGTTCAAAGGGTGCATTTTGGGCCCGAATTTTTTGTCCTTACAAATGGGGCTTCAACATGTTTCCCTTATTCCAGAGGCCTCTTCCAGGGAGATGCTGTTTCCCCTTTCTTTTCACATTGGTGGCAGAGGTTTTCAGCAGGTCTATAGATAGGTTATATCGAAACGGCCTGCTTGAAGGTGTCAAACTTAGTAGCAATGGACCACAGATTTTGCACCTTCAATTGTGGATGACACTCTCATCTTACATGGTGCCACCGAATATCAAATGGACACCCTATGGTTGTACTTTAAATGTCTTGAGCTCGGTATAAGCCTCAAAGTAAACCTAGCCAAATCCAACCTCATGGGGATCGCCTCCTCCCATCAATCCATCATAGCCTACCCACTAAATACCTCACTTACCCATTTGCACTGGTAAACCCTGCAAGCAACAATGGGCCCTCATTGTTGAAAGGTTTGATCACAAACTCGCTGCTTGGAAGGGGAGATTTCTCTCTAGAGCCGGTCTAGTCACCCTCATCACGGCCACCCTCTCCAATCTCCCGGTGTACCAGTGTCCCTTTTCAGCATGCCGACATCTATAGCTTAACGTTTGGAAAAACTCAATGAGGGATTTCTTATGGACAGAAGGGGAAGATTGACACCACGTCCACTAGGTTCCCTGGAATAGCGGGGGGTCTCGAATTAGAAGCCTCAAGATGGCCAAGCTAGCTTTGCTGGGGAAGTGGTGGCGGTGCTTCTCTACTCAACCTAGCCGTCTCTGGCAGGCTGTCTTGAAGCATAAATACCATATTGACCCCTCCACTTGGCCCTCCTTCCCAAACCTTCACTAGACCTTTGGGGCTTTGGCGGGGCAATATTGACTAGCCTCAGTCACTTCAAGCCTAACATTATGTTTAGTGTTAGGGACAGTAGGAGGGGTCAAATTTTGGGGCGACACCCGGATTGGCAATACCAGCTCACAAATGCAATACTCTCTTCCCATCAGCAGTGAATCCGGAGGTCACCATAGACCAAGCTTTTGAGTTGATGGGAGAAACCGGAGTTTGGAGCCCTATCTTCAGAAGGCCACTGCAGGATCACGAACTTACTGCCTGTGCCTCTTTATCGGCTCTTCTCCAAAATTCTTTTCTCCCATCTTTCGACTAAGGTACTTTAAGAAAATTAAAAATAGGTTGCAGATTTCTTCCCCATCTATATTTAGTAGCAGTGTACAGTACCTGGGTGAAAACTGTAGCTAATTGGGCGAGTTGCCTAAGTTCTATGGTACTCAGGCTAGTCGTTACAGTACTTGCCTGAGTATTGTACAAGAACCATCTCCCTGGAGCTTTTACACTGCTACTTGCCTCGGCACCATGTTGCGGCTGAGTTTTAAAGCACTGGTTTTGACTGACTGTATCTTGTTATGGTATGGTTAAATTTGCAGTTTGTGAAGATGTGAGTTCTAATAAATTATGAACTTTGATTTGTTTTTGGAGCATGTGTTGCTCATGACTGAAAACAAATCTTAGTAAAACAAAATTTGGTTCTTCATGTTTTTTCTTTCCCTCCCTCCCCCCTCCTCCCTTTGGTGGCTGTCTACATCGTGACGTGTCCAAATGGTGTTATTATTGTCTTAAAGTTTTGTTTGACCTCTTCATATGGCATATCCTGACTGGATCCTGATGTCACTGTTAGGTAAAGCCTATGAGAAGGTATGTGAGGTATGCCACATTACTATCAACAAAAGTGCAATATTTGGGGACAATGGCGCTCTTTGTCCTGGAGGAGTGAGAATTGGTATGATATTCAATTTCCACTTCCTGTATTACTAACGTTTTTTCAGTTGTGCTCCAAGTTCTCAATGGCGCTATGTTCTGCTTTCATCAGGCACTCCAGCGATGACATCCAGAGGTTGTATTGAGGCAGATTTTGAGGTTATTGCTGATTTCCTTCTTAAAGCAGCACACATAGCAATCGCTGTGCAAAGGGATCATGGGAAGCTTCAGAAAGATTTCCTCAAGGGTCTTCAAAACAGTCCGGAGGTTATCGACCTCAGAAACCGTGTTGAGTGTTTTTCTTCACAGTTTGAGATGCCTGGTTTTGACACCCATGTGTAAATTTGCAGCCTCATGAGATTGTTGCATATCATGTATACAGAAAGGACTCAGCCAGAATTCTTTGTAAGCGGTTTCTTAGCTTTTCAACATCATTAGGTGTATCTGTATATTTTTGGTTCATTATTTTGTCTAAAGGAATCCCAATATATACTTATCTGCACTTTAGGAATCGTACCTTTTTAACAGAAATTTAAACCTTATGGTGGTATTTGATATCATTGTTTCTCCTTGGGTTGTCAATGGGTCTGAGCCCTGGATGTGTTGAAGATCCGTTGCGGTTGAGAGATGATGAAGAAGACAAACTATTAAAAAGAAAATAAATAATGCGAGCAAAGGCCCATGCGGAGGCATATGATTCTTTAATTCTAGAACCGGATTGAACTATTTTGCTTTGCTAAATGATCATTCATACGAGGTCATTTGTTCAACAGAGTATGTGATGTTCGATCCTGTGGTAGGCCACCAAGGGTGGATATTGGGTGTCTGATGTGTTGTGTAGAATAGGGTTTACAGGATCATGTCTTCGTTAGAGAGCGGATGTGATATTCAACATTCAACTAATGGATCAACGGTTCTTATTCTTTCAGAAAATGCACTTTATGGTTGTGGTTGTCATGAAAGGCCCATAATATTATGACTTGCTTTCAAAATTATTCAACAACTCACGTGAGAGTGAGGCGCAGGCCTCACTTTTGCAGCTTTGACCTGTCGAGTGTTGTTGACTTGCGCTATCCCTCTTAATGTTTGTCTTGGTGTTTGGGATTTTCCCTTGAGCCTAATTGTGCTCGAAAACCCACGGAATCCAATTGTTGGATTTTAAAAGATCATCGTCTTTTTAAGATCGTTATGTTTGGTAGGCAGTCAATGTAAATTTTTTTAAAATAGTTAAGATGAAGTACGGATGATGATGATTACGATGATAATTTGGATTGATTTATTTTTCAATCCAGATAATTGATAATTTGGATGGATTTATTTTTCAATCCAGATAATTGATCTAGTGATCCAATACGGATATGTGGGTGAATGATCTCTGTCCCATCGGTTTGGGTTTTGAAACGTAGTTTTTAGTGAAGGCTAGAGCATGTCTTTCATAAATCTCGAGTTGAGGCTTATTTGAGTTAGAGATTGTTTGAGAATGTGATGCGGCACAATGTTGATGGAGAAGATTAAAGAGAAAATAAGACAGGAAATTCAATTGATTCAATAAAAGTGTAGCTCAAGAGGTTTCAACACAAAAAAATCTACATGCAATGATAAAATCAACAAAACTCCTCTATATCCTCTTTTCATAATTTTAAACTCTTTTCGAGGTCTGTATTGATCGACACCGCCTTTGTAACGCGTTGTGTTCCAGTTAAGTCTATTTGTCACTTCCAACTGGGTGTCTCGAATGTGTTCCGCCCAAGCCTCTGCATTATTGCTCACTCACTCTATATCAGTCAAATTCGCTAGATCCAAATCCTGCCATTAATTATTTCTGATCGCCCTATGGTTTTATTTTTGGCACTGTTATACATGAATTCAGCTTGAGACAAGAACACATACCACTGCTACCATCGTCCTTCGGTCAAACAACGTAAAAGATTGCCTAAACTCTTGTTAAATGCATCTGTTTGGGGATAGTATGCACTGCTGACCTGCAATTTTATCCTTATCTTTTCCCCATGGTCATCCAAAAGTCGCTCATGGAGCATGTATCTCGACCCGAAAGTGATAGTTTGGAAATACATAGATTGGCTGCTTGCGTAGCATCCAAAGAGTTTCGGTACATATGAAACGTGCCAGCCATCTTTGAGTAAGAATCAAATATTACCAAACTAGAGTCTATTTCCTGGACTGTTCATGGCAATCCCACCACAAAATTCATGCATCTTCCCATGATTGTCGTGGTACTGGTAATGGAGAGTATAACGGGTGTTTTGAGTCCGTCCTTCTGGGAGATGGCGTATACGACATCTATTAACATACCCCGCAACATCTCACTTTTGTCATGGCCCAAGGTACCTGTCCTCCACTAGCACTAAAGTATGGTCTCTGCTGAAGTGACCTCCCAATTCTCCACCATGCAATTCAGAAAGTATTTTCAACTGTAAGGAGTCGTTTGATATGCATAGGTGTTTTCCCCTTAAAAGAGAACCATCTTGTGAAATATAATGTTTGGTAATTTCTGGGTCTCCTTGCTGTACCTCTTCACCAATTTCAATAAAATATGCGTTAGTAGCATATTGTTAGGAGTCTGTTTTAAAGCCCACTATTGATGTCAAAACACTCAATACTATGACTCTTACTCGATGCATCTGCTACTCAGTTTTGACATCCAGCCTTATGCTTGATCACTAAAGTGAATTCTTGCAAGTATGAAACGGATCTGGAATGCCTTCTATTCGCACTTTTCCGAGTGCTCAGGAACCTCAAAGCCTCATGATCAGAATTCAATAAAACTCCTACCTGCACTATCGCATAGAAATTCATGTCATATATCAAATATCATGACTTAGAATAACTCAACTTCTCATTGAAGAAAGTAACAGGCCTATTCTCTTGGCTCAAAACCACCCAAATCTCAACATGGGATGCATCGCAATCCATTTGAAAAACTCTGTTCTGTGTAATCTTTTTTTTAATCAATTGGAAGCTATCATTGGCCACATCTGTCCATGCATAGTTGCCTTTCCACATACAATCTATAATGGGAGCTATCAAGAGCTGAAATTTTTAATAAATCATCGATAAAACGCTGCTAGCCCCTGAAATCTATGAACATCCCTAATACAAGTCGGTGTTAAGACAGTCAATAATTGCTTGAACCTTTAATTGGATCCACTCTAATCTCCTCAATAGCTACTGCATATCCCAAAAAAATACGACTATTTGTCAAGAAAGAACACTTCCTAAAATTGAGAAACAACTTTTCAGCTCGTAATGTTTCTAGAACCTGCCTTAAATGAATTAAATGTTCCTCAAGTGCATAGTGGTAAATCAAAATATGATTAAAATATACCATAATAAATTTCCCAATGAATGGTTTAAACATTTGATTCGTAACTTGCATAAAGGTACTGGAGCATTAGACCAGCCAAAAGACATCATTAACCATTTATATAATCCCTCTTGAGTCTTAAATGTTGCTTTCCATACAACTCCTGGTCTTATTATGAAATGATGAGGCCCACCTCGTAAGTTGATCTAGGGTCGTGGTAGAAGTATCATCTGAGTCCTAGTTAGGGGTCATGGCCTCCATTCTCCCAAATACTTTTAAAATTGACTATTTTCAAAACGCTCGAGGGCCTGTAATCCCCACTGATCTACCAAAAAAAAATCATATGTGAAAACATCTTAGATCTTGATAACATGTCCAACATATCATTTAAATGGGGTATATATTTGATCGTGATCTTGTTTACGCCCTTGTAGTCCACACACATTTGCTTGGTGCCATCTTTCTTGGGAGTCGGCAATTCTGGGAGAATAGTGGGACTTAGACTCTTACAAATCAACCCCTAGTCAACAGGTCAGAAATTTGCCAATGAAGCTTGTCTTGTTCGTTGGGACTCATATGGTAGTATAGTAGATTTGGTAAATTAGCTCTCGAAATTAAGTTTATATAGTGCTGGATATCTCTCATAGGAGGTTAACCCTCTGGGTAATTCTCCAAGCACAAAATCTTGGAATTCATCCAAAAGCATAAAATCCTAGAATTCATCCAAAGGCGCCTAACTAACTTATTCTCCACCTCAACATTGCAATTATCCATCATTATTAAGACAAACGCAAACCCTTTTCCACTACTTTCAGTGAAAAATTGATGCGTGGATAAAACTACTTCTTTCTTTTCCACCTTAACCCTCTCTTTATCTATCTCTCAAAGGGTAGAATTCACATTCAAACCATCCTTGGTAAACGAATACATATTATTTTGGCTATTATGAATTACGAAATGGTCGTACTGCCAAGGACATCACAATAACAAGTGACAAACGTCCATTGGTAATATGATACGCCACACACAGTTGTTATGCCATTTACAAATAGAAAAAGAAATGAAAAGAGAATCAACAAAGAACTTTATTACCTTGTTTCAACCATTGTATCTTGTCGATTTGAGGATATTTCTTTTCTGTAACTTCAATTTTTCACCATCTATTCGGAAACCATGTTGTGGCAGCTCCCTCTATCAATATTCACTAAACATACCTTGCCTTGCACCTTGCATCTTGTGCAAACACGGTTATTATGCTGCCATGGCTCGGAAGCCAGGTGTTTATACTCGAAATTGCAGGTAAGGGACTACACCTACGGGTGTAAACAAATCAATAAGTTGATAGAGTATGGGTCCCGTTAAAATACGTTCTGAGAGAGAATCGGGTCCTAAGATCTTATCCCTCTTGGATCATCGACAAAGCTGGTTTCTCTACTATCTTAACCTCAAAACTCAACCAAGAAGATTTTAAAAGGGGTTTTAAGGTAAGAGGAAGATTTTAAGAAAATAAATTTTTAAAGAGAACAAAGGAAGACAACCACAAATAAACAACTAAACTAAGAAGATGCAAATAAATAGGAGTAAATAATCTAACTACTAGATGCAAGAAAAACAAGATATTGAAAAGTATGGAGACAAAAAAATGAATATAATCTCAACATGCATGACATATAATAAAAGAGAGAGAGAGAGAGAGAGAGAGAGAGTAATATGGAGATACGAACATTATTATGAAGAAAGAAGAGGATGAGATCTTCATCTATAAGGTAGAGAGATATGAGTATAAAATGAGAATAAAGATAATAATCTAATATAGGGAGAAGTAAAATGAAAGGGATAAGAAAAAAAAAAAACTAATACTAATAAGTAACATACAATGAGAGTAACAAAACTAGATATAGGAAAGAAATAAAAAGAAAGAGCATAAGAATGAGGGTTAAGATGAGCGAGCTAGAGAGAAGCAATGAATGATTCATTAAAAGGGAAAATAGAAGGATGGATAGATGCAAGTCCTTAATAGAAGATCGTGAAGAGTAAGAAAAGTAAATATATCTAACAAGAGAAGAAGAGAGACTAGGCCTTTGAATAAAATACAAGGGAAAGAGAAAATAAATATAACAGAAGATAGGGAATGAGAGGGTTGGCAAAAATATATATTATTAAGTGAATGATGGGAGAAAGATGAATAGACACAACTAATAAAAAAAAAACAAATTCAACAAGAAGAGAAAATAC